TGTCCCCCATTCAGTATGATGCTAGCTGTGTGTCATAGGACACACAAAAGTTGTATATGACTTTTGTTATGTTAGGTATGTTCCCTCAATACCAGTGTTTCAGGGTTTTTATCATGAAGGGATATTGCACTTTATCAAATGCTTTTTCAACATTAATTGAAATGGTCATATGGTTTTTGTCTTTCATTCTGTTAATATGATGTATCATATTGATTGATTTGCATAAGTTGCAACTTTCTTGCATCCCTGGGATAAATCCCACTTGGTCATGATGAATGATCTTTTTAATGTGTTGTTGAATTCAGTCTGCTAGTATTCTTCAGAGAATTTTTACATCAATATTCATCCATGATATTGGCCTGTAGTTCTTATTTATTCATGTGTGTTTGTCTGGTTTTGATATCAGGGTGATAGAGGCCTCATAGAATAACTTTGGAAGTATTCCCTCTTCCACCACTTTTAAGAATAGTTTCAATAGAATTGGTATTTGTTATTTTTAAATGTTTGGTCATTTAAAGTCAGCTCATAGGCTTTTTTGTTTTTGTTTTTGTTTTTAATTACTGGAAGTCTTTTGATTGGAATTTAGATCTTGTTACTTGTTATTGGTCTGTTCATGTTTTGAATTTCTTCCTGGTTTAATCTTGGTATGTGTCTAGGAATTTGTTGATTTCTTCTAGATCTTCAAATTATTGGCAGATAGTAGCCATAGTAGCCCCTAATGATCCTGTGAATTTCTGTGGTATCTGTTGTAATGTTCCCTTTTTACCCAGGATTTTATTTATTTGAATCTTCTTTCTCTTTTTCTGAGTTAGTCTGGCTAAAGGTTTGTCAGTTTTATTTAGTTTAAAAAAAAACACAAATTTTTAATTGTTCTCTTCATTTCTATTTCATTTATTTCTTCTCTGATTTTTATTATTGATTTTATTCTACTAATGTTGAGTTTGGTTTGCTCTTGCTTTTCTAGCTCTTTAAGATGCATCATTAGGTTGTTTGGGAGTTTGATGATTAAATGCTTTGAGATACTCTTATTTGGGTTAAATTTGCTTGATGTTCTGTAACCTTCTTGTACTTGGATCTTCGTATTGTTCTTTAGGTTTAAGAAGTTCTCTGTTATTATTCCTTTGAATAAACTTTCTACCCCTATCTCTTTCTCTACCTCCTGTTTCAAGGTGATGACTCTTAGGTTTTCCCTTTGAGGTTATTTTCTTGATCCTATGGGTGTGCTTCATTGTTTTTTATTCTTTTTTTCTTTGGTTTCCTGACTGTGTATTTCAAAATAAACTGTCTTCACACTAATTCTTCTGTTTGATCAATTCTGTTATTGAAAGACTCTGATGTCTTCAGTATGTCAATTGCATTTTTCAGTTCCAGAATTTTTGCTTGATTCTTTTTAATTATTTCCATGCCTTTGTTACATTTATCTCATAGAATTATAAACTTTTTATCTGTGTTATCTTGAATTTCTTTGAGTTTCCTCAAAACAGCTATTTCGAATTCCCTGTTTGACAGTTCACATACCTCTGTTTCTTCAGGATTGGTCCCTGGTGCCTTATTTCATTCATTTTGTGAGGTCATGTTTTCTTGAACGGCCTTGATACTTGTGCATGTTCTTTTGTGTCTAGGCATTGAAGACTTAGGTACTTATCATAGTCTTCACAGTCTAGGCTTGTTTGTACCGGCCCTTCTTAGGAAGGCTTTCCAGGTCTTTGAAAAGAATTGGGTGTGGTGATCTAAGCTGCATCTGCATTATGGGGGACCTCAAGCCCAGTAACACTACGGTTCTTGCAGACTTGTAGAGGTACTGCCTTATGGTCTTAGACATAATCTGGGAGAATTCTTTAGATTATTATGCAGAGAATCATGTTCTCTTTCCTTACTTTATCCCACAAAAATGGAGTCCGTCTCCACGTTCTGAGCCACCTGGAGCTTTGGGTTAAGAAACATAAGCACCTCTGTGGATACAACCACTATGACTGCACTGAGTCAGACCTGAAGCCAGCACAACACTGGGTCTCACCCAAGGCCTGCTGTAACCACTCCCTGGCTATCAACTGTGTTTGCTCAAGGCTCTGGGGTTCCACAATCAGCAGATAGTGAAGCCTGACAATCCTGTGTCCGTCTTTCCAGGTGGCAAGTTACCCCAGGCTCCGGGCATGTCCTGAGGTGCCATCCAGGAGCCAGGGACCAGAGTCAAAAACCTTAGAAATTTACCTGGTGTTCTATTGTACTGTGGCTAAGCTGGCACACAAACCCCAAGATGTGGTCCTTCTCACTCTTTCATCCCCTTTCCAAAGCTAGAGGAGACTCACCCCATGGCTGCTGCCCATCACAGGCACATAGAATGCTGCCAAGCAACCTCCATTGTTCCCTTAAGACTCAAGGGCTCTTAAATCAGGTTGGCATATTCAGTTGATTACTGATTAGTGCATTTGTGTGAGTAAATTATTCAAGGTTGGTGAAAGAAACATGTGAAAGAATTAGAGACAACAGTACTCAATGCTCTTACAGAACTGGGAGTAGTGCGTATTCCCTCCAGTCAGTTGGAAAAACTTCATGATTCATACGGTATTGGTAGAGTGCACAAAAGAGTTTTGCTTTAGTATTGGAGGATAATTATATCTAGGCTCACTAATGCCTGTAACAAATATTACAAATTAGACCCAAAGGGATCGAATGATTTCAAAGTAACTTAATATATTCTAGTACAAAAGTGAAGATTATTCATAATATGTGGTCTTTTATGTCTGGCTTCTCTCACTTAGCATAATGTCTTTTTTTTTTTTTTTTTTTTTTTGAGATGGAGTCTCACTTTGTCATCCAGGCTACAGTGCAATGGTGCGATCTCAGCTCACAGCAACCTTCGTCTCCTGGGTTCAAGGGATTCTCTCACCTCTGCCTCCTGAGTAGCTGGGACTACAGGCACATGCCAACATGCCCAGCTAATTTTTCTATTTTTAGTAGAAATGGGGTTTCACCACGTTGGCCAGGCTGGTCTTGAATTCCTGACCTGAAGTGATCTATGCACCTCGGCCTCCCAAAGTGCTGGGATTACAGGCGTGAGCGACCATGCCCAGCCTGCATAATGTTCTTAAGGTTCACCCATATAGTATTATGTATTGATACTTCATCCCCTTTCATAGCCAAGTATTATTCCATTGTACGAATAGACCACATTGGTGTATCTACTACCAGTTGAGGGATATATGGTTTGTTTCTACCTTTTGGTTATTATGGATCATATAGCTATGAACATTTATGGACACATTTTGGGTGGATGTATGTTTTCATTACTTTTGGATGTATTCCTGGGAGTGGAATTGTTGGGTTAAATGGTATGTTTAACTTTTTAAGATACTGCCAGACTGTTTTTCAAAGTGGCTGCACCATTTTACATTCCCTCCGGCAGTGTATTAGGGTTCTGACTTCTCCACATCCTCACCAACACTTCTCGTTATCTCTATGTTATGATAGCTGTGCTAGTGGGTAAGAAATGGTATCTCATTGTGGTTTTTACTTGCATTTCCCTTGACTAATGATGTTTAGAATCTTTTCATGTGCTTGTTAGCCTTTTGTATGTCTTCTTTGGAGAAATATCTACACAGATCTCTTTTAATTTGGATATTTGTCTTTTTATTATTAACATGTGAGCCCACTGACTCTTTGATCCATAACTAAGGATTGTCAGAAGGGCCATTGGAATTCTATTGGAGCTATTCTTTGTTATTCATTTAGTAAATAAAAAACCATTTCAATATCCCTGAGGAAATCATAGAGATTAGGACCATCATCAAATACTGGAAAGATGCACAGGTATAGAATCTTACTGTATTTCCATTTAATTGTCTAGTATGAATAGTACAAAATAGGTGAATCTAGTAGTATAACACTGGACCACTTAAATGAGTGTACCTCCAATTGGATTGGACATTATTGATACGCTTATAATTGTTGAACACCTGATATACAACCTTTGATCTTGTTTATTCTTTTTACTTTGCTCCAATAAGCAGGGAACAACAGAAATTTGCTTTCATTTGAAGGATGTTTAACTCAGGGACATGTGAACCTTCTAGTTTTGGACTTCAGTTAAGTCAATATGGACCTTGGCCTTCTCAGTCTAGCATTTTGATGACATCATGCTAATAGGTCTTGGAAAGCAAGTGTTTTTAGTACACTGGATGCCTTGGCAATAAGGTAAGAAATAATTTCTTCGTGAAATTTGTGGCATTCCAGTAGCCAGGGACATTTTGGAATATCTCCTCCAAAATGAAAAAAATCAACTGTGCTCTATATCAAGAAGCTAGGTGGCCTTACTTGGATTTTGGAAGCGATATGAACTATATTTGTATTTGATGTTCAAGGCATTTTCTGGGAAACAAAAGTTCTTCTGTTTTAAGAGTCTAGAGCAAGAGAAAATTTTCAACAGGTCTAGACTATGGTATTCAACCTTTATGACCCTGTAGGTTCAGTGTTGTTTGAAGTGTTTGTGCCAGATTGTGATGCTGTGTATAGCCTGTGGCAAGCCTCTACAGGGAAGTCACAGAAGACTCATATTTTTAGAACAAAGCTATGGCCTTTTGCAAGTATGTAATATTGTCTCAAGAAACAGTTCCTAACTCATGGTGAATTTTAGTCAGCATGCAAATCTGGACTTCATTGGTTTAGATATTTTAGTCCCAAAGCAAAGACTGCTTTTAACAGGAAACATAGCCATGATACTATTGAATTAGGAAGTTGAGAATACTTCTTGGCCATTTGTGTCCATGATCCATCAGAAATTAAATTGATATTTTAATACTCCAAGAACACTGGCCATCTAATGTTCTTGCCAAATGCAGGGGCAATGTGGTAAGGCAGGATGGGAGTCATAAATTCAGCTCATAATAATTTCAGAAACAAAAACTATATCTACCACCCTATTCCCTTCCTTAATGGTTAATGAATATATTTATATATTTTAACCAATTTCCCTTGTCTTTCCTTTTCATTCCTTCTATTAGACACAAGAAATGTAGGTGAATATCATGATGAAGTTGGTTTGATAATTCTAGAAAGTCAGTGAATGGCCAGAAATCCTCAACTCAGAACTGAAGCAAGTAATTTATAGGAATTTGAGGAGACTTCTTACAAAGCAGAGGTAAGACAGTTCACTGAAATGTGAAGCACAGTGGCATTGTATAGTCTGTGGAGTTTTTTGTTTTGTTTTGTTTTCTAATTTTCATGTAGATTTGGGAAGAAGGGTGTAAGTGTGTATGTTAAGCAGCAAAAAGGAGTGAAGACAGTTGTCATTTGACATACAGAATTTGTAGGGGACAAATATTCCAAGCCCCTCTTCCAAATGGCACTTTGATCTCTGAGAATAATCTTTCATTTTATGTGATCATTAAAGCGCTAGTACCCAGCTCCTGCTGCAAAGAATACTGGAGCCAACCTGTCCCATTCTCTACCTGGATAACTAAGGAATGAATATTTGATGTAGAGCTTGGGGTCACTGAATCTCAGAGAAAACTAATCAATGTTGTAAGAGATGTCTGGAGGTCATTTCACAATCGCTACAGCACAATGCCTCAGGGGCACTGTGAACCTGCTGCGTAGCTCCTTCTGTGTCTCCTGCCGTCCAGTATTCCACAGATCCATGGGTCCTGCCTATTTCCCCAGCCTAGTCCTTTAGTCTCAAATCAATCCTGGGCACCCCAACATCCTTCCAATAAATTCTTTTAGCCTAGACAATCGAGTTATTTTTTGTTTGTTTGTTTCTTATAGCTGTGTGTACTGATTTATACAATACTCTGCTGTGTCAAGTTATTTACAGTTTTGCATTCAGATTCCTTAAGAGACAGGAGACACAATTGGATTAGACAGCCACCATTCAGCAAGAAAGATTCTAGTTGGGTACATATGTTATCATGCTCCATCCTTCAGGCCACTCACCACCATACACATTTTGTTCTGTGGTCAAGGACTCAACCTAGTGCAATCCGTCTCTTTGGTAGAGTCACACACCATCAAGCACAACAACCTATAAAGATGTTTATGAGAAGGAGGCTGTAACTCATGAATAAGGGTCCTTCACTGAGATGCTCTGAACTTCTCAGAAAGGGTTGGTATAACCAGTTTGAACCTTGTGTGGCTTTATGGGGACAATATAAAAGGCTCTGAAGATTTTCCTTTCCATGTCAGTGAATTCCAGCTGCTAAAAAAGAAACCCTCAAGTGATGGTCCCAAGAGCTTTTGCAAATATTCACCAAGAGAATCACAGTTAAAGTTCAGTCCTATTTCTCCTTACCTTCTTAATCACTACAACTTATTATGTGCAGTTTCAAGAGCTCCAGTTCCAGCCCAGGGGCTGTTGGTCACTGATTCCTGATTTTGTAGGACACTGCACAAAGGTACAAATTGTATTCTCTGGCCTGAAAAGGAATGCAGGTTTTTGAGAGGATAGCAAGCAGAGTTTTTTTGTGAACTGGGAGAGTTTAGGCATGGGAAGAAACAGACTTGTGGAATGTTAATTATAGCTGGTGATTATGACAATGGGTTGAATATTATGTTCTTTCTCAAAAGTGATGGCTCAATGTGTGATGACCAATACTGATGAAGCCTTTTTACCTTAATTGTGATTTTGTAATCTAGATTATCCTGCATGCTGCTAGTTGCCATTCACCTTCATTATAGGTTTTGCAAATTAAACAGTCACTCTGTGGTATCTGGCATAGGTGCAGAAGGCAAATACTGCTTGGGGAAAATACATTATTAAATCTACAGAGTAAGATGTTACAGGCACTGTGCCTCCAAACCACAGTCTCCATCTTCTATCCCTCCTGTGATGAATCCAGGCTCCCCCATACATTAGAAACAGAGAAACGAAAATCTAATATTTACATATTAGCATAACAAGAATAAAACGCTCATGGGCAATTTGTGAGTGTTTATTAACTGCAACCTAGAACAGTGTAACCATGGCAGTGCCTTTTCACACACAGATGACAAGATGGGATTTCTTCCCTGCCTCCTTCTTTGTTAATTCTTCCTCTCTCTATCACTAGTAAAACAGGATGGAAGCGTAATAACTCACAGGAAGCGGTCAGTGCCAGTAGGACAAAAAAATCCTCTTTGGTAGACTTCCTTGGGAAGAACTTGAAGGACTTAAAGACTGCCCCAAGCAACTAACTTTTGGGATGCAAGGTCCCACAGGGCCCCTCAGGTGCCTTTAGGAATCTCCAAAGAACTGCCTAGCAGATATTTAGGGCCCTGAAAGGAGGCAAGAGGCTTAAAAGACCAAGAACAATGCCAAGGGAGAAGAGATAGGACAATCAAAGTGAAAAGATACTTACAGGCCCCATGTGAGGTTGATTCGGTATGAACTGATAGGTGACTTCATGCAAAAATAAAACAACAGGCCGGGCGCGGTGGCTCAAGCCTGTAATCCTAGCACTTTGGGAGGCCGAGGTGGGCGGATCATGAGGTCAGGAGATCGAGACCATCCTGGCTAACAAGGTGAAACCCCGTCTCTACTAAAAAATACAAAAATCTAGCCGGGCAAGGTGGTGGGCGCCTGTAGTCCCAGCTACTCGGGAGGCTGAGGCAGGAGAATGGCGTAAACCCGGGAGGCGGAGCTTGCAGTGAGCTGAGATCCGGCGACTGCACTCCAGCCTGGGCGACAGAGCGAGACTCCGTCTCAAAAAAAATAAATAAATAAAAATAAAACAACAAAACATAGTAACCACTTGCAAAACAATTTTACCCTTCTCTCTGTGCTTTGTTTGTGTACTTGGGGATCTCTTTTCAGTAAAGGATGTATCTGCATGTCCTTCCAGGCACTGTGGATATCACTATAGGATTCCCTGCTTCAGGCTCATATTTTGTCAATTTCCTATAAGAGTTGAATACAACTTATATTGCAACGAGGCCCTGGAAGACCAGCACAGTCCCCAGATACTTTCACGTTGCCGGGCACAGACAGGCACATTAGGCTACCTCTCAATAGACAGAGATACATTCTATGGAAATATCATGAATTAAGGAGAAAGGATGCACTCTGAGAAGCTACCTTCCAGGCAGCCCAGAGAATTAGAGCATTGATTATCAACATTCAAGATACAACTGTAACTCAAGAAGTGAAATGGTCATTATGGTGGCCCCAATGCAATTCTAGTACTTGTTCCCTCAGAAGGGAGCATTTGTTGCTTTTACTCTAGGTTCATGTTAGAAACACGGCTACCCTTATTCTTAGTTTCTACTGCTTAAGTTGCTATTGATTTTGGTGGGATAAGTGGAGATGGGGAAAAGATCGTATTTGAAATATACTTCAGAGCAAGATCCAGCAGGAGCTACTGAGTAAATTTCTTTGGGGACTGAGAGAAAGAAGATTAAGTAGTCATGTCTCTTCCTGGTTCTTTGCCTGCCTGCTCTGTCTTCTCTCCTGCTACTTCTCCACTGAGCACTTAGCACACTGCTTTCTCTGCCTCCCTCATTATTGCACAGAAAATCTATTCTTGAACCCAATACCAAAGCCCAGGGACACACTTGTAACTGTCTTTCTAACAGAGCCATTCTCCTATGGTATAAATATTTGTCTCCTCCCAAAATGTATGTGTTGAAATCTTAGCCCCAAAGTGATGGTATGTGGAGGGGGGTCTTTAGGAAGTGATTAGGTCATAAGGGTGGAAGTTTTCCTTGACTATTCCCTCAAATATGTTTTCCAAATTTTCAGATTTATCTTCTTCCTCTGGAACACCAATTAGTCTTAGGTGCGGCTGTTTAACATGATCCCAAATTTCTTGGAGGCTTCATTCATTATTCTTTTTTCTTTACCTTTGTCAGATTGGGTTAATTTGAATGCCTCATCTTTGAGCTCAGAAATTCTTTCTTATACTTGTTTCATTCTATTGCTGAAACTTTCCAGTGCATTTTGTATTTCTCTAAGTGTGTTGTTCATTTCCAAAAATTGTGATTGTTTTATTTTTATGACATTAATTTCTCTGGAGCATTTTTCAGCTGTATCCTGTATTTTTAAAAAATTTCTTTAAGTTGGTTTTCACCTTTCTCTGTTATCTCCTTGAGTAATTTAATAATCAACCTTCTACTTCAACCCTGAAAATACCATCATTCTTCACAGAACTAGAAAAAACAAGCCTAAAATTCATGTAGAACCAGAAAGACCCCACATCGCCAAAGCAAGACTAAGCAAAAAGAACAAATCTGGAGGCATCACATTACCTGACTTCAAACTCTACTACAAACCTATAGTTACCAAAACAGCATGATACTGGTATAAAAATAGGCAAATAGACCAATGGAACAGAATAGAAACCCAAAATATAGTCAAATACTTACAGCCAACTGATCTTCAACAAAGCAAACAAAAACATAAGGTGGAGAAAGAATATCCTATTCAACAAATGGTGCTGGGACAATTGGCAAGCCACATGTAGAAGAATGCAGCTGGATCCCCATCTCTCACCTTATACAAAAATCAACTCAAGATATCAAAGACTTAAATCTAAGACCTGAAACCATAAAATTTCTAGAGGATAACTTTGGGAAAACTCTTCTAGACATTGGCTTAGGCAAAGAGTTCATGACTAAGAACCCAAAAGCAAATGCAATGAAAACAAGGACAAACTGATTGGACCTAATTAAACTAAAAAGCTTCTGCACAGCAAAAGAAATACTAAGCAGAGTAAACAGACAACCCACAGACTGGGAGAAAATCTTCACCAACTATGCCTCTGACAAAAGACTAGTATCCAGAATCTACAAGGAACTTAAACAAATCATGAAAAAAATAATCCTATCAAACAAGAAAAAAAATAATCCTATCAAAAAATGGGCTAAGAACATGAATAGACAATTCTCAAAAGAAGATATACAAATGGCCAGCAAACATATGAAAAAATGTGCAACATCACTAATTGTCAGGGACATGCAAATCAAAACCACAGTGAGATATCACCTTACTCCTGCAAGAATGACCATAATTTAAAAATAAAAATTAAAAAAAAAACCAGATGTTGGTGTGGATGTAGTGAAAAGGGGACACTTTTACACTGCTGCTGGGAATGTAAACTAGTACAACCACTATGGAAAACAGTATGGAGATTCCTTAAAGAACTAAATATAACTACCATTTTACCCAGC